ATACACTCTGAGATTCCTTTAGTCTTTCACTCCATTTAGAATATTAATGTCGCTATTGTCATTGATATGTAAACTCATCTAATGTTCGGACCAAAACTCGGAGCGGATGGCGAAGATGCACTCGTATATCCTTTGCCTTTCACTCCATTTGGCAAATTAATGCCGCCATTGCCATTAATGTGTCTGTTGGGGTTAGGATTCAATAACTTGGGAAATTCCTCTAAAGTTCGGATTAAAGGCCGGAACGGATTGCACAGCTACATCCTCGGATTCCTGTCGTCTTTCACTCTATTTGGAAAATTAATGTCGCTGTTGCCGTTAATATGTAAACTCACTTAAAGTTCGGAGTAAAACTCGGAGCGGATGGCGAAGACACACTCGAATATCTTTCGCCTTTCACTCCATTTTGCAAATTGAAGTTGCCATTGCTGTTTTTCACTCTATTTGGAAAATTAATTTCGCTGTTGCCATTAATATGTAAACTCATCTAAAGTTCGGACTAAAACTCGGAGCGGATGGCAAAGACACACTCATATATTTTTCATCTTTTATTCCATTTGGCAAATTAATGTCAGCATTGCCATCTTTCACTCTATTTGGAAAATTAATGTCGCTGTTGTCATTAATATGTAAACTCATCTAAAGTTCGGACTAAAACTCGGAGCAGATGGCGAAGACGCACTCGTATATCTTTCGTATTTTACTCCATTTGGCAAATTAATGTCACCATTGCCATTAATATGTCTATCTGTCTATTTATCTATCTTTCTGTCTATCTATCGATCAATCGATCTGTTTCCATAGGCCATACTATCATTGGCTACGTCCTATCCACATATACCTATAGTACCTGGAAAGGGAGAAATCTTTATATCGACAACTTCTACGTCATGCCGGAATTTAGAGGTAGGACTATAAATCCCTTCTCTATCCTGTAGATGTGTATGGAGTGTGTGTGTGCAGAATTGTTGACATTAGGTGCATCTACACTGTGGAATTAATCCAGTTTTGCACTGCTTTCAAAATGCCATTGATTTTTCTTGCAGGGAGGCGCATTGGGAAGAAGCTCATGTGCTTAGCTGCTGAGGTAAGTTTGGGGAAATGGCACTCATGGGCCAACTTTATCCCTCCCGGTGTTTTGGACTACAACTCCCACAATTGTAGGCTAGGCTGTTAGGAATTGTGGGAGTTGAAGTCCAAAACACCGGGAGGGACAAAGTTGGCCCATGAGTGCCATTTCTTCTCGTCTTGTTTTCGCTCAGGCGGCTTGGAGACAGGGCTGCACCGAATTACGAATGCATTCTTCGTCCGAAAAGCCGGAAAACCACGCCGTTTTGCAGCGCTGGGAAGCGGAAGACCTCAGCTCCAAACACGGCTGGCACCTTCTCCGCTTCTATAACGACACCCTGAAGAGGCGGGCTGCCCAGAGCAAGGTCTAGCCCGAGCGGCTTGTGCATACACTCGGAAAGAATATCGGTCTGGGCCACATCCAAACACGTCCCGAAAATAAAACACTGAAAATGGTTTCCAAGAGGTTGAGAGTGTGTGACTTGTGCATTTCCACGACCAAAGGTGCATCTACACCAGGTATGGGCAAACTTTGGCCTTCCAGGTGTTTTGGACTTCCATAATTCCTGTTCAGAGGGGCTTGGGCACTACTTTAATAGCCACAGCTCAGTGGTACAGAGTTCTGGGAGTTGTAGTTTTCCGTGGAAACCCATTGAGTGATCATGGGTTGGATAGGACATACTCTCAACATCAGGATAGGGCAGACATGTATATATGTGGTGTATGTTAGGCTGTTAGGAATTGTGGGAGTTGTAGTCCAAATCACCTGGAGGGCCCAAGTTTGCCTATACCTGATGTAAATGTATTAGGAATTGTGGGAATTGTAGTCCAAAACACATGGTGAGCCCAAGTTTGCCCATACCTGATGTAAATGCATTAGGAATTGTGGGAGTTGTAGTCCAAAACACCCGGAGGGCCCAAGTTTGCCCATGCCTGATGTAAATACATTAGGAATTGTGGGAGTTATAGTCCGAAACACCTGGAGGGCCCAAATTCGCCCATGGCTCATGTACATGCATTAGGAATTGTGGGAGTTGTAGTCCAAAACACCTGGAGGGCCCAAGTTCGCCCATAACCGATGTAAATTCATTAGGAATTGTGGAAGTTGTAGTCCAAAACAACTGGAAGGCCCAAGTTTGTCCATGCCTGATGTGAATGCATTGGGAATTGTGGGAGTTGCAGTCCAAAACACCTGGAGGGCCCAAGTTTGCCCATACCTGATGTAAATGCATTAGGAATTGTGGGAGTTGTAGTCCAAACCACCTGGAGGGCCCAAGTTTGCCCATACCTGATGTAAATGCATTAGGAATTGTGGGAGTTGTAGTCCAAAACACCTGGAGGGCCCAAGTTTGCCCATGCCTGATGTAAATGCATTAGGAATTGTGGGAGTTGTAGTCCAAAACAACTGGAAGGCCCAAGTTTGTCCATGCCTGATGTGAATGCATTAGGAATTGTGGAAGTTGTAGTCCAAAACACCGGGGGGGGGGGAGTTTGCCCATACCCGATGTAAATGCATTAGGAATTGTGGGAGTTGTAGTCCAAAACATCTGGAGGACCCAAGTTTGCCCATAACTGATGTAAATGCATTAGGAATTGTGGGAGTTGTATTCCAAAACACCTGGAGGGCCCAAATTCACCCATACCTGATGTGAATGCATTAGGGATTGTGGGAGTTGTAGTCCAAAACACCTGGAGGGCCCAAGTTTGCCCATGTCTGATGTAAATGCATTAGGAATTGTGGGAGTTGAAGTTCAAAACATTTGGAGGGCCAAAGTTTGCCTATGCCTGATCTACACAGTGGAATTAATGCAGATTGCACTACTTCAACTGCCCTGCTTCAATGCAGTTTTGCAATAACTGCAGCCTTAAAGGCCTTGCCAAACTACAACTCCCAGCATTCTATAGCACTGAGCCACTTAAAAGTGGGGTCGAAGTGTACCCTTTGTAGAAAATGCTTGACTTGCAGTTTATTCTGTAACTTGTGCGCCATTGATATTCCCCATATGCCAACTTCTGCTAATGTTTAACTCGAACTCGGTTCCTGTTGACCTTGGAACCCATTGGCTTAAATCAGCCCTTCCACTTATCACCTACAATTTTGGACTCCAATTCCCAGAATCCCAAAGTTGGGAAATTATGAACGTAATGGAAATCCCAAAGTTCTTTTTTTAATAATGACAATGATGATGATGATGATGATGATTAGGTAACTTTTCCAACTTTTTCCATGCTATGGAACCCTGGGGTTTGTAGTTTCACCAAGGTCTTGAGGCTTCCTTGCAAAAGAAGGCTGGGAATGACAATAACAATAACAACAACAACAACAATAATAAGGTTACGTTCCAAACTTTTCCAGATTTTCCCATACTATGGAACCCTGGGGTTTGTAGTTTTTCCAAGGTCTTGAGGTTTCCTTGCAAAAGAAGGCTGGAAATGACAATAATAATAACAACAACAACAATAACAATAATAATAAGGTTACTTTCCAAACTTTTCCAAACTTTCCCATGCCATGGAACCCTGGGGTTTGTAGTTTCCCCAGGGTCTTGAGGCTTAATGAAGGCTAGGAATGACAACAACAACAACAATAATAAGGTTACTTTCCAAACTTTTCCAAACTTTCCCATGCCACAAAACCCCGGGGTTTGTAGTTTTCCCAAGGTCTTGAGGCTTCCCTGCAAAAGAAAGCTGGGAATGACAATAATAATAATAATAATAATAATAATAATAATAATAATAATAATAATGAAGACGATGATAATTAGGTTACTTTCCAAACTTTTCCAAACTTTCCCATGCTATGGAACCTTGGGATTTGTAGTTGCAAAAGAAGGCTGGAAATTACGACGATGCCGATGATGATGATGATGATGATGATGATGATGATGAGGTTACTTTCCAAACTTTTCCAAACTTTCCCATGCTATGGAACCCTGGGGTTTGTAGTTTTCCCAAGGTCTTGAGGCTTCCTTGCAAAAGAAGGCTGGAAATTACAATGATGATGATGATGATGATGATGAGGTTACTTTCCAAACTTTTCCAAACTTTCTCATGCTATGGAAACCTGGGTTTTGTAGTTTCCCCAAGGTCTTGAGGCTTCCCTGCAAAAGAAGGCTGGGAATGACAACAACAACAACAACAACAATAATAACAACGACGATAATTAGGTTACTTTCCAAACTTTCCCATGCTATGGAACCCTAGGGTTTGTAGTTTCCCCAAGGTCTTGAGGCTTCCTTGCAAAAGAAGGCTGGGAATGACAACAATAATAACAACAACAGCAACAACAACGATGATGATTAGGTTACTTTCCAAACTTTTCCAAACTTTTCCAAACTTTCCCATGCTATGGAACCTTGGGATTTGTAGTTTCCCTAAGGTCTTGAGGCTTCCTTGCACAAGAAGGCTGGAAATTACGATGATGATGATGATGATGATGAGGTTACTTTCCAAACTTTTCCAAACCTTCCCATGCTATGGAAGCCTGGGGTTTGTAGTTTCCCCAAGGTCTTCAGGCTTCTTTGCAAAAGAAGGCTGGGAATGACAATAATAATAATAATAATAATAATAATAATAATAATAATAATAATAATAATAATGATTAGGTTACTTTCCAAGCTTTTCCAAACTTTCCCATGCCATGGAACCCCGGGGTTTGTAGTTTCCCCAAGGTCTTGAGGCTTCCTTGCAAAAGAAGGCTGGAAATTACAATGATGATGATGATGATGATGAGGTTACTTTCCAAACTTTTCCAAACTTTCCCATTCTATGGAACCCTGGGATTTGTAGTTTCCCCAAGGCCTTGAGGCTTCCTTGCAAAAGAAGGCTGGGAATGACATCATTATTATTATTATTAGTATTAATTACAACAACAACAACAACAAGGTTACTTTCAAAACTTTTCCAAACTTTCCCATGCTATGGAACCCTGGGGTTTGTAGTTATCCCAAGGTCTTGAGCCTTCCCTGCAAAAGAAGGCTGGGGCTCCATTACTATTGCTATTACTTACATAAAGCGGCTCCACCAAACTACAACTCCCAGGATTCCATAGCATAGGATCGTGCCCATTAACTGGTGTCAAAACAGCATTAATTCCACGGTGTAGATGCAAAGGAGACCTTGCAAAGCGACACGTGCATTGAGCCACGGCAGTTGAAGTGGGGTCGAATGGCATGCATTCCCTCATATATGTAGGATGATGTCCCTTTTCCAAGGATGGCTGCATTTTAAGCGAAGGGCTGGTCCGGGGGCAAGTGGAGGAGGGCGTCCAGGAAGATGCTGAGGGTCCCGATGGAGGTGAAGATGATGAAGGTCCAGAAGAAGAGGCGGTCCACCACGAAGGCCACGTATTCCCAGTCTTCCCTCAGCTGGAAATGGGGAGAAAGAGGCTGAGACCGTGTGACTCACCCAGAGCCATTCATTGGGTTTCCATCTCCACTGCTATTACAATGCAGATTGAACTTCACGCTCTGCTCAGTGTGGACCACTAGACTCACCGCGTCGTGGTCCTCCTCCTCCTGGAGCTGCTCCGCGATGTACAGAACCGCATTCATGGCCGACTTCAGGTCCGGAGGGAGGGTGACGCTGTGGCTGCTGGGACCCTCAATGAATTTTTTCATGTCGGTGGAGAAGGCCTCCAGCTGGAACCTTGGGAGGATGAGGCAGAGGAGAGAGGGTCCAAAAGAACAAGAACCACGTTCTTCCTGCCTCAAGGAGATATCTACATGGCAGAATTGATGCAGTTTGGTTTCCATGGCTCAGTGCTATGGAATCCTGGGAGTTGTTGTTTGCACTCTTTGGAAGGTAAGGATAAACTACATCTCCTAGGGTTCCAGTGCATTGAGCCATGGCAGTTCAAGTGGAGCCAAACTGCATCAGTTCTACAGTGTAGAAGTATGTCTACTTCCTAGTCCTGGATTCCAAGCCCATATTCCTACCGTAACCTTCCTTCTTCCATCCATTTACATGCATTACATACACACACATTTATCAACTACCCATCTATCTATCTATCTATCTATCTATCTATCTATCTATCTATCTATCTATCTATAGGATACACATATACATGAGATATATACCACACATATACATGATAAATATACATCACACATATACAATATCTATATATACACATAAACACACACACCACATATGTACATTATATATACATAAACACATACACCACATATATACATAATATATAGATAAACACATACACCACACATACAAATAATATATATATATATACACACACATACATATACATGCACACCACATATCTATCAATCTGTCTATCTATCTATAGAACACATATACATGATAAATATACACAACACATATACAATATCTATAAATACATATAAACACACACACCACATATGTACATTATATATACATAAACACATACACCACATATATACATAATATATAGATAAACACATACACCACACATAGAAATTATCTATATATATATATATGACACACATACATATACACGCACACCACATATCTATCAATCTGTCTATCTATCTATAGAACACACATATACATTATATATATATATATATATACACCACACATATACATGATAAATATACACCACACATATACAATATCTATATATACATATAAACACACACACCACATATGTACATTGTATATATATACACATTAAAAACACATACACCACATATATACATAATATATAGATAAACACATACACCACACATACAAATTATCTATCTATCTATCTATCATCTATCTATAGAACACATATATACATTATATATATATAGATAGACACACACACACACACCACACATATACATTATAAATATACACCACACATATACAATATCTATAAATACATATAAACACGCACACCACATATGTACATTATATATATATATACACATTAAAAACACATACACCACATATATACATTATATATAGATAAAGACATACACCACACAATTATATATATACACACACACACATACATATACACGCACACCACATATCTATCAATCTGTCTATCTATAGAACACACATATATATGATTGATATATATATGCCACACATATACATGATAAATATACACCACACATATACAATATCTATATATACATATAAACACACACACTACATATGTACAATATATATATATATATAATACATACACCACATATATACATAATATATAGAAAAACACATACACCACACATACAAATAATATATCTACACACACATACACGCACACCACATATATACATAATATATAGATACACACACTACACACATCTATACACACACCACACACATACACACACATATATATACATACATAATATATACATGCACCACACATATAAATAATATATATACACAAACACCACACACACATTATATACATACACAGTCACACACTACATATACATATTATATATATATTATATACATACACACACACCACACACATATAAATTATACACACACCAAACATATACTGTCTGTCTGTCTGTGATGACTTCTGCCCCCCCGCCCAGAAAATCAGGATCTCACCTGTTGGGTTTGGGGAACTCGTAGGCAGGGGTGCGGATGAAATACTCATCCGTTCGGCGGTTGGTTTTCACGGCAAACTCTTGCTTTGGGGGCAGAGGAGGGGGTTTCACAACGGGCTCCGGTTTGGGGCGCCGCAACCCCAAATAGGGAGGAAGCTTGTGGATAAAGATCTAAGGGAGAAGGAGAAGATGAAGGGAGACCTTTTGGTGCAAGACCCATCCTGGGTGGCTCCACCGAGAAGCTCTCTCCCGCTTTGGCCAACTATGATGGCAGCCAACTATGGACCTATCTTAAAGTTTATCTTCAAAAAGTTAATTTCAATTTAAAGTTTATCTTCAAAGTTAATTTCATTTGTTCATAGATTAGTAATATACATGCAAATATTTATTATAATTATCCATCAGGATGGTTTTTACAAAGAGGGGGGATGGCTGACTGTGAATCGTCTTGAGTTGCCTCTGGCTGAGAAAGGCGGTATACAAATGCAGTAAATAAATAAATAAATAAATGGCCATCAGCTGGAAGGGTTTCGATTGTGTCTTCCTTCCTGCCATGCAGCCGGGGGGTTGGACTGGATGGTCTTTGGGGATCCCTCCCAACTTGAGGATTCACCAAACCTCTGATGAAATTTGGAGGCTCTCTGTGTTTGGTGCTATGTGACCTACCAGAAGCCCTCTGTATAGGTCACTCTATCTCCCACCTGTGTAGACCACTTTACTTCCCACCTGTGTAGGCCACTCTACCTCCCTACCTCTCACCTGTGTAGGCCACCCTACCTTCCACCTGATTAGGACACTCTGCCTACCACCTGTGCAGGCCACTCTACCTCCCACCTGTGCAGGCCACCCTACATTCCACCTGTGTAGGCCACTCTACCTCCCACCTGTGTAGGCCATTCTACTTCCCACCTGTGTAGGCCACTCTACCTCCTACCTGTGCAAGCCACCCTACCTCCCACCTGTGCAGGTCACTCTACTTCCCACCCATGTAGGCCACTCTACTTCCCACCTGTGTAGGCCGCTCTACCTCCCACCTGTGCAGGCCACCCTAGCTCCCACCTGTGCAGGCCACCCTACCTCCCACCTGTGTAGGTCACTCTACTTCCCACCCATGTAGGCCACTCTACTTCCCACCTGTGCAGGCCACTCCACTTCCCACCTGTGCAGGCCATTCTACCGCCCACCTGTGCAGGCCACTCTACGTCCCACCTGTGCAGGCCACCCAACTCCCATCTGTGCAGGCCAGCCTACCTCCCACCTGTGTAGGCCGCTCTACCTCCCACGTGCATAGGCCACTCTACCTGCCGGACCCAATCGGGCATCTCATGGGTGCTGGGGGAGCGGTGGTGGAGGTTGAGGTCCACGACGCTGAGGATGACGGAGAAGGTGACCAGGGTCATGGTGAACATGAGGTACTTGATGATGATGGGGACGGCCAGGGAGGTCTCGGGCACCTTGTCAGCCAGCAGCAGCAGGAAGACAGTCAGCGTCAGGAGGGCGAAGATGGAGAGGGTGATCTTCTCGCCTGCAGGACACAAGGCTGAGTCAAAATCAGAGGGCTTGGCCTTTGGGGGGGCAGCGTTACTGCCCCAAAAACTAGTTTCCTGTGGAGAAGAAGTCCATTCCCCTCCCAAAAAGAGGCAGAAAAGATTGTTTCCCGTTGAGAATCTTTGCAAGGGAGGATGAATCTTAAATATGACACTACGTAACAAAAATGGAAAACTTTTCTGATCCTGGTTTGCTTAATTGTGTGGTCCTTACTGTGAAAATACTTCTACTCTAGAAACTTCATTTTTGTGGCTGACACAGACTAGGGTGAATGGGTTGAGACTCAGTGCAAAACTAGAGCAAAATGTGCTACAGGATGATCGATAGAAAGATCGATACATAGATAGATAGATACATAAACTGATACACAGCTTGATTGATATGTAGATAGATGATAGATAGATAGATAGATAGATAGATAGATAGATAGATAGATAGATAGACAGACAGACAGACAGACAGACGGATACATAGATACATAGATTGATAGATACGTAGATCATAGATAGATAGATTGATACACAGAATCTAGGACGTGTTTCTCAACCTGTGGGTCAAGTTGCAGGCCAAAACACCTGGGGACCAACTTGATCCACAGGTTGACCCACAGAAATCCTCTTTGTTAGGATGTTATGGAAAACGAGATTGGATTGTGATTCTATGATGAGACGTCGCGAATGATTTAGTGTAATTGTATTATTGATAGTGATGTTGTTACTGTTGTTTGTGCTATTGCCTTTATTGTAAATTGTTTTTATATGTTGTACACCGCCGTGAGTCGCCCTAGGGCTGAGAACGGCGGTCTACAAGTGCAGAATAAATAAATAAATAAAATAAATTCTCCCATTTGGACCATTTTGAAGAAATATTTCCTAATCTATCTATCTATCTATCTATCTATCTATCTATCTATCTATCTATCTAAACAAAAATGTAATGTTCGTTTGTGATATTCACAGAACTCAAAAACTGCTAAGGTAAGATATCTGGGAATCATAATAACACCAAATAATATTCAGCTCCTAAAAAATAATTACCAAAAGAAATGGACTGAAATTAAAGAAAAGTTATAGCCAAAGATATAGCCAAATTTGGAAGGGAGGGAAGCACAGGATTAGTCTGGTAAATCTTTGTGATGACAAGAGAAGAGGCAGCCTGGGTCTCCCAGAATTACAAATTTATTACGAATTGGCAGCTCTATGTCGGGTCAAAGACTGGGCAACCCTAGAGAAAAGGAAACTTTTAGTATTGGAAGGCTATGACTTGGCCCTAGGCTGGCACAGATATCTATGGAGAGAGAAAGCCAAGTCAGAAAGGAACTTTAATAACCATTTCATCAGGTCTGCTCTTCTCAGAATTTGGAATAAATACAAGGACAGGTTTTACCATCGGACCCCGCTTTGGTTTTCTCCAATCGAAGCAGACCACAGAAGAGCGATCCCAAGAGAAAAATGGTTTACGTACAATCAATTAATTAAAAAAAGAGGCCAAGACATTTCACTAAAATCACAAGATGAATTAAAACATCTGTGTGGGGGGTTTGGCCCAATTCTATTGTTGGTGGGGTTCAGAATGCTCTGTGATTGTAGGGGAACTATGAATCCCAGCAACTACAACTCCCAAATGTCAAGATTCTATTTCCCCCAAACTCCACCAGTGTTCACATTTGGGCATATTGAGTATTTGTAGAGTTTGGTCCAGATCCATCATTGTTTGAGTCCACAGTGATCTCTGGATGTAGGTGAACTACAACTCCAAAACCAAAGGACACTGCCCACCAAACCCCTGCAGTATTTTCTGTTGGTCATGGGAGAACTGTGTGCCAAGTTTGGTTCAATTCCATCGTTGGTGGGGTTCAGAATGCTCTTTGATTGTAGGTGAACTATAAATCCCAGCAACTACAACTCCCAAATGACAAAATCAATTTTTTGACTGAAGGACATACATTGGGTTGTTAGGTGTCTTGTGTCCAAATTTGGTGTCAATTCGTCCACTGGTTTTTGAGTTCTGTTAATCCCACAAACAAACATTACATTTTTATTTATAGATTACCAGCCGTCCCCTGCCATGTGTTGCTGTGGCCCAGTCTGTGTATATGTGTTTTGTGTGCGTATATGTGTGTATATATTTGTGCATATGTGTATATGTGTGTTTGCATATAAATATATGTGTGTGTAGATGTGTGTGGTTTTGTGCATGTGTTGTAATGTAATTTTTGTTTTTCGGGTTTTTAAGTCTCTTCTGTGTTTTTATGCGTGATGGTCACTCGTTGGCCTGACAGATGTATTGTGTCCAAATTTAGTGTCAATTTGTCCAGTGGTTTTTGAATTATGTTAATCCCACAAACTAACATTACATTTTTATTTATATAGACTAGCTGTACCCACCACGCGTTGCTGTGGCCAACCTTCCCTCTTTCTCTCCTTCTTTCCCTTCTTCCTTCACTCCCTCTTTCCTTCCTTCCCGTCTTTCCTCCTTCCTTCCTTCCTTCCTTCCTTCCTTCCTTCCTTCCTTCCTTCCTTCCGTCTTTCCTTCTCTTCTTCCTTCCTTCTCTATCTCTTTCCTTCCTTCCCCCTTTTTCTTTCTCTTCTGCTGTCTCTCTTTCCTTTCTTCTATTCTTTCCTTACCCCCTCTTTCTCTATATCTTCCCCCTTCCTTCATTCCCTCTTTCCTTCCTTCTTTCCTTTTTTTCTTTCCTTCTCTCTTCCTTTTTCTCAACCTTCCTTCCTTCCCCTTTTTCTTTCCCTCTTTTTCCTTTCTTCTCTTCTCTCTTTCTTTCCTTCCTTTTCTCTTTGTTTCCTCTTCTTCTCCTTTTCCTTCTTCTTTCTCTTCCTCTTTCTTTTCTTTCTTTCTTTCTTTCTTTCCCCTCCCTCCCCTCTTTCTTCCCTTTTTCTGTTTGTCATTTAGCTTTTCATCATTTAGCTTTTGGGGGCTTTTTAAGTCCACTCTGCTGTGTTTTTCATTGTTTTTATGAGTGAAGGACATACATTGGGTTGTTAGGTGTCTTGTGTCCAAATTTGGTGTCAATTGGCCACTGGTTTATGAGTTCTGTTAACCCCACAAACGAATATTACATTTTTATTTATATAGATGATGATGATGAAGATGATGATGATGATGATATTTATATTTATACCCCGTTTTATCTTTCCCGCAGGAGTATCTTAATATGGGTTGAATTTGGGGGACTGCGGGGAAAGTCTGAAACTGACCCCAAGACTTTGGGGTTTTCGGCTCACCCACCGGCTTCAGGAGGGAGGTAGAAGACGAAGATGGCCAGGATGGTGATCAGGATGCAAGGGATGATGACATTGATGAGGTAGAAGAGGGGCTTGCGGCGGATGATGAGGTAGAAGGTGATGTCCTCGTAAAGGGGGTCCCTGGGGAGGGTGTTCTTGCGGGAAGGGCGGTGCCGGATCTCCCACTGACCGTTGTCTGCAGAGAGGAAAGAAGACGGAGGTCTGGCTGGATGCCCTCTAGGTGTTTTGGACTTCATGGGCCAACTTGGGCCCTCCAGGTGTTTTGGACTTCAACTCCCACAATTCCTAACAGCCTACCGGCTGTTAGGAATTGTGGGGAGTTGAAGTCCAAAACACCTGGAGGGCCCAAGTTGGCTTTTGCCTGTCCAAGTTGGCTTTTGCATGGTCCCCTGGGCTGCCCATCTCACCGATGAAGGTGTTTTCATGGAGGATGATCTCCTTGAGCTCCTTCCCATCCTTGTTGAGCGGGTGCAGGAGGGAGATCTCGGAGGAGTCGTAGCTGAAGGAGCGGAAGACCAGGGTGCAGTTTTGCCAGTCGAAGGGGAAGTAGGTCACCTGCCCAAAGGAAAGAGGCCAAGGAATGACCTTCAGAGGACTGCAACGCCCAGCATCCCTGACCATGCCAAAGCAGTGCATCTGGAGGAATTGGGGACATGGAGCTGGTCCTTGGACTGGCACTGATGTGGAATTTAGATGGCAAAAAATGAGAGTCTGCCTGGCAAGCATGGCCTCTGAGACAGTCCGTCCCATTGATAAGCTGGAGGAGGAGGAGGAAGTTAGAGGATTGATTCATGTGCCTACCTAGCAGGGGTGTTGTGTGTGTTTTACTCTTTCTATCTTCCATCATATCTGTGACCTAGCAGGGAACGTATACCTTGTGTACATGAGAGGGGTGTCCTACTGTACTGATAATAATGATAATGATAATGATAATAATAATAATAATAATAATAATAATAATAATAATGTATTGTCGAAGGCTTTCATGGCTGGAATCACTAGGTTCTGGTGGGTTTTTTCGGGCTATAGAGCCATGTTCTAGAGGCATTTCTCCTGACGTTTCGCCTGCATCTATGGCAAGCATCCTCAGAGGTAGTGAGGTCTGTTGGAACTAGGAAAAGGGGTTTATATATCTGTGGAATGACCAGGGTGGGGAAAAAATTACAACAGCAAAACAGCAGAGAGGAAACAACCAGGCACATCTTAACACCTCTCAACAAAAGATTTTCCCAGGCTCAGCCAGGCTTTCAAATGCTAATGAAGGTGGTCAGTTGAAACATTCACACCTAGCTCCAGCAGAGAAGAGCTCTTTGCCCCACCCCAGCCATATAAACCCATTGTCCTAATTCCAACAGACCTCACTACCTCTGAGGATGCTTGCCATAGATGCAAGCGAAACGTCAGGAGAAATGCCTCTAGAACATGGCCATATAGCCCGAAAAAACCCACAAGAACCTAATAATAATAATATATGGGTTGTTTTAGGTTTTTTCGGGCTATATGGCCATGGTCTAGAAGCATTCTCTCCTGACGTTTTGCCTGCCTTGTTTGTTTCCTCTATGTTGTTGGACATCTAATCACCTCTCAACAAAAGTTTGCTCCAGGCACTGTCAGGCCATTATATGCTAATCAAGGTGGTCAGTTGAAACATCCACACCTAATTCCAGCAGACAAGAGTCCTTTGTCCCATCCTGGTCATTCCACAGATATATAAACCTTTTTCCTAGTTCCAACAGACCTCACTACCTCTGAGGATGCTTGCCATAGATGCAGGCGAAACGTCAGGAGAGAATGCCTCTAAACCATGGCCATATAGCCCGAAAAAACCTACAACAACCCAGTGATTCCGGCCACGAAAGCCTTCGACAATACAATAATAATATCCTTTGAAAAAGGAGACAGAGGGCCTGATTCTGGCAGCCCAAGAACAAGCCATTACAGTCAATGCCATCAAAGTCAGGACTGAAAAGTCAACGACACATCCCAAGTGTAGACTTTGCAAGGAAGCAGATGAAACAATAGATCTCATCCTCAGCTGCTGCAAGAAGATCGCACAGACAGACTCCAAGCAGAGGCACAACACCGTTGCTCAGATGATTCATTGGAATTTGTGCCACAAACACCATCTGCCTGCGACAAAGAACTGGTGGGATCACAAGCTGGAAAATGCACATGTCAAGCTACTCTGGGACTTCCGGATTTAGACAGACAGAGTTCTGGAGCACAACACTCCTGACCTCACAATTGTGTTAAAAAAACAAAGTATGGATTGTCAATGTCGCAGTCCCAGGTGACAACAGGATTGCAGAGAAACAACTGGAAAAGCTGACACAATATGAGGATTTAAAGATCGAAATGCAAAGACTCTGGCACAAGCCAGTCAAGGGGGTCCCAGTGGTGATCGGCACACTGGGTACAGCACCTAAAGAACTTGGTCTGCACTTAAACACAATCAACGCTGACAAAATTACCATCTGCAGCTGCAAAAGGCTATCTTACTGGGATCTGCACGCATCATTTGCCGATACATCACACAGTCCTAGACACTTGGAAAGTGTCTGATGTGTGATCCAATACAACAGCCAACAGAGTGACCTTGTTTGCTGTGGAGTCATCTTGTTGTGTTTCAAACAATAATAACAACCCTTCGAATCCATGACGGTGTTCTACCCTCACCTGGATGCTGCAACTGGTCTGATAGAGAGCAGGGGGCTGCCATTGCACCCTCCCATCATGGCTCACCAGGACGTTTACTGGGAGAGCGATTTCAAAGACACCGTCGTAACTGGAAAGAAGAAGAAAGAGGATCGGAAGACATGGTGCCATGGAGGATGATGGGAATTGTAGTCTTCCAAGCAGGAACCCTTAATCAGATTGTAAGGAACCCAGGCATTCATTGGAGTGGACTAGATGACCCTCAGGTTCCCCCTTGACTCTGCAACCTTTTAGGAACGAGAGTCACAATTATATAGTCATATACAATATGTCACACATGATTTTTGTCCTGGGTAATAAATTCCATTTCCTAATTGGTTCTATCATAAAAACATGGGAAAAGTTTGAGTTTGTTTTTGCAGGAGGACATCATCCTGCAGTACCGGGTCGAAGCTAGCTCAGGTCGGAGTGAGCTTCCAACCATTTGTGTAGCTTGCTGTCGACCTTTGCAGCCTGAAAGACAGTTGCATCTGTCAAGAAGGAAATTTAGGTACCGCTTATGCGGAAAGGCTAATTCAACTAATCTACGACACCATAAAATCTCCAGCAAGCATGCAAAAGAATGAGGAAGTACTCCATCAGTGTCACAAATGGAAAGTGAAGCAACAGCTCTCCTGGTGGCCAGAATACCCTCATGAAGCTGAAATGTTAAATAGCCTCTGTGTGTCTGTCTATATATGTTGTGTGTCTATGGCATTGAATGTTTGCCATGTATATGTACATTGTAATCCGCCCCACCAGGTCGAAGCCAGCCTGGGTCGGAGTGAGCTTCACCATTTGTGTAGCTTGCTGTCAACCTTTGCAGCCCGAAAGACAGTTGCATCTGTCAAGTAGGAAATTTAGATACCACTTTGTGGTGAGGCTAATTTAATTAATTTACGAAACCATAAAAATCTCCAGCAAGCATGCAAAGAATGAGGAAGTACTTCATCAGTGTCACAAATGGACGGTGAAGCGACAGCTCCCCTGGTGGCCAGAATACCCTCATGAAAAAGCTGGAATGTTAAATAGCCTCTGTGTGTCTGTCTATACATGTTGTGTGTCTATGGCATTGAATGTTTGCCATGTATATGTACATTGTAATCCGCCCCACCGGGTCGAAGCCAGCCTGGGTCGGAGTGAGCTTCCAACCATTTGTGTAGCTTGCTGTTGACCTTTGCAGCCTGAAAGACAGTTGCATCTGTCAAGAAGGAAATTTAGGTACCGCTTATGCGGAGAGGCTAATTTAACTAATCTACGACACCATAAAATCTCCAGCAAGCATGCAAARGAATGAGGAAGTACTCCACCAGTGTCACAAATGGAAGGTGAAGCGACAGCTCCCCCGGTGGCCAGAATACCCTCATGAAGCTGAAATGTTAAATAGCCTCTGTGTGTGTGTCTATATATGTTGTGTGTCTATGGAATTGAATGTTTGTCATGTATATGTACATTGTAATCCTCCCTGAGTCCCCTGCAGGGTGAGAAGGGTGCAATATAAATATTGTAAAGAAATAAAATAAACTTGGCTACTGCTTTTCAATGAAAATCTCATCAAGTCTTGACCGATTCAACATAGTTATGGCCACAAAAATGAGGTTTCTGGAGTAGAGCAACCACTTTCCAAGTAAGGGCTGCACAATTAAGCAGGAAACAACACTTTCAAACCAGGACCAAACAGCAGTCCTTAAGGGAGACTCACTTGTTCATCAGGACTATATCCGGAAGCCAGACGTCGCTGGAAAAAATGGGTACAGAGGTGATCCCTTTGAAATCCTTGGGATCCCAGGTGAAGCGATAATCGATCCATTCCTGTCATTTGTAGAGAGAAAGGAAAAGGTTGGAAAGAGAAAACGGAGGGGAAAAAGAATGATAACGGACCTTCAGTATCCACTGGGTTTTAGTTCCAGTACACCAGTGGATATGGAGATCTGTAGAAAGGAGATTCCACCTGAACATGAGGAAGAACTTCCTGACTGTGAGAGCCGTTCAGCGGTGGAACTCTCTGGCCTGGAGTGTGGTGGAGGCTCCTTCTTTGGAAGCTTTTAAACAGAGGCTGGATGGCCATCTGTCGGGGGTGCTTCGAATGCAATTTTCCTGTTTCTTGGCAGAATGGGGTTGGACTGGATGGCCCATGAGGTCTCTTCCAACTCTATGATTCTATGATTCTATGTGGATGTACAGGTCCCATTGTATACAACAACAACAACACTTTATTTATAGACTGCCCTATTTCCCCAGAGGGACCCTGGGTGGTTTCCAACACATATGGCAAACAATGTCAATGGTATTGCCCTTTATATAAAATGGTGAAGTTTGCTTTCGGAAATTCTTAAGAGGTACTGAATCCGCAGATACGGAGGGCTGACTATGGCTATGTCTACATTGTAGAATGAATGTATTTTAATTGACTTGGCTAAATACTATGGAAACCCAGGAGTTGTAGTTTGACAAGGTCTTTGGCCTTCTCTGCCCAAGAGGGCTGGGGGGTCTCACCAAACTACAAATCCCACAATTCCATGGAATAGAAGTGGTACCAAACAGAAGTGTAGATGCACCCCATGTTCAATTCTGCTTTGCAAACAGGGTTGAATGGTTGGAAGGAGAAAAAGGGACGAAAAAATATGAATGACAACGGACCCTCTGTATCCACAGGGGTTTTGTTCCAGTACACTAGTGGATAACGAGATCTGTAGATGCTCCGGTCCCATTGTATACAGCAACAACAACAACAACAACAACAACAACAACAACAATTTACTTATAAACTCCCTGGAGGGACTCAGGGTAGTTTCCAACGCATATGGCAAACAATGTCAATGGCATTTCCCTTTATATAAAACGGCGAAGTTTGCTTTTGGGAATTCTTAAGAGGTACTGAATCCGCGGATACGGAGGGCTGACCATGGCTATGTCTGCATTGTAGAATGAATGCATTTTAACTGACTTGGTTAAATACTATGGAAACCTGGGAGTTGTACTTTGACAAGGTCTTTGACCTTCTATGCCCAAGAGTGCTGGGGTTCTCACCAAACTACAAATCCCACAATTCCATAGCATGGAAGTGGTGCCAAACTGAAGTGTAGATGCACCCCGTGTTCAATTCTGCTTTGCAAACAGGGTGGTTTCCAACACATATGGGAAACATTCAATGTCAATGGCATTGCCCTTTATATAAAACGGCGAAGTTTGCTTTCGGGAATTCTTAAGAGGTACTGAATCCGCGGATACGGAGGGCTGACCATGGCTATGTCTATATTGTAGAATGAATGCATTTTAATTGACTTGGCTAAATACTATGGAAACCCAGTAGTTGTAGTTTGACAAGGTCTTTGGCCTTCTCTGCCCAAGGGTGCTGGAGGCACAAAACTACAAATCCCACAATTCCATGGCATGGAAGTGGTGTCAAATTGCATGCATTCTGCAGTATAGATGCACCTTGTGTTCAGTTCTGCAATTTTGTTACTTACCAGATTCAGGTAGACTTTTACAGTCAGTTTTTCGTCTTTTTCATTCTGAAAAGGAAACAAAGCACACAGAAGGAAGCAACAAAATGCAAAGGTGTATCTACAGGTATGGTCAAACTTGGTCCCTCTGGGTGTTTTGGACTTCAACTCCCACAATTCCTGGCCTCAGGCCCTTTCCTGGAAGGAGCCTGAAGCCAGGAATTGTGGGAGTTGAAGTCCAAAACACCCAGAGGGACCAAGTTTGACCATACCTGGTGTACATGCATCCCAAGTCAGAAGGTTCTGCCCAGAGAGAGAAAGAGAAGGAGCAATGCAGGAAGGTCCCCTGCCAGGATGGAGGGAAGCTTGGGCTATTAATAGGCAGGAAATGCAGCTGTCGCTTGGGCTTCCTGTAACCCTCTCCTCCGTCTCCAAGCCCAGGAAGGACTGGAAGTGAAAGATACCCTTCAAAGGGAGGCCAAGGAGGTCTATGTGGGGCCCACCCAGAGCCCTGTGGAAAAGAAAAAGGGAAAGGGAGAAAGAAGGAGGGGAGGAAAGAAGTAAGGAAGGAAAGAAAGAAAGAAAGAGGGGTGAGAAGGAGGAAGGAAGGAAGGAAGGAAGGGAAGGAGGGAAGGAAAAGAAAGGAGGGAGAGAGGAAGGAAAAAAGGAAGGAAGGAGGAGAGAAGAGTGGAGCTATAGGAAAGGAAGGAAAAAATGAGGGAAGGAAGGATGTCACAGGGAGGAAGGAAAGAAAGGAAGAAGGAGGGGAAGAAGGAGGAAAGAAGAAGGAAGGAAAGAAATGAGGGAAGGAAGGATGTAAGGGAGGAGGGAAGGAAAGAAAGGAAGAAGTGAGGGGAAGAAAGGAAGAAGAGGAGGAAGAAGGAGGAAGGAAGAAGGAGAGAAGAAGGAGGAAAGAAGGAGGAAGGAAAGAAAAGGGAAGGAAGAGAGAAGGGAGAGGAAGGAAAGGAAGGAAAGAAGGAGGGGAAGAAAGGAAAAAGGAAAGAACAGAGGGAGGGAAGGAAGAAGGAAAGGAGGAGAAGGAGGGAAGAGAGAGAGGGAAGGAAGAAGGAAGGAAAGAAAGAGGGAAGGATGAGAGAGAAGGAGGGAAGGAAAGGAAGGAAGAAGGAGGGGAAGAAAGAAAGGGAAGGGGGAGGAAGGAAGGAAGGAAGGAAGGAAGGAAGGAAGGAAGGAAGGAAGGGAGGAAAGGAAAGAAAAGGATAGAAAGAGAGAAGAGGGAGGAAAGAAAGGAACAAAAGTGGAGGGAAGGAAGAAAGAAAGGAGAGAAGGAGGATGAGAAGAGAGGGATGGAAAGAAGGAAAGAAGGAGGGAGGAGAAAGAAGGGGAAGAAAGAAGGGAAGGAAGGAAGGAGAGAGAAAAGGAAGAGAAGAGAGGGAAGGAGGAAAGGAAAGAAAAGAGAAGAAAAGAAGGAGAAGGGGAGGAAGAAAAAAAAAGGAAGGAAAAAGAGGAAAAAGAGATGGAAAGGAAGGAAGGAAGGAAAGAAGGAGAGGAAGGAGGAGGAGAAGAGGAAGGGAAGGAAAGAAGAAGGAAGAAAGAAGGAAGGAGGAGGAGGAAGGAAGAAAAAAGGGAAGGAAGGAGAAGGGAGGAGGGAAGGAAAGAAAGGAAGAAGGAGGGGAGAAAGGAAAAGTGAAGGAAGGAAGGAGGAAAAGAAGGGAGAGAAGGAAGGAAGGAAGGAAGGAAGGAAGGAAGGAAGGAAGGAAGGAAGGAAGGAAGGAAGGAAGGAGGGAAGGAAGGAAAGGGAGAGAAGAGAAAAGAGGGAAGGAAAGAGGAAGGGAAGAGAGAAGAAAAGGGAAGGGAAGGAAGAAAGAAGGGAAGGAAGGAACAATGCTGGATGAAAGGAGGGAAGGAAAGAAGGAAAGACGAAGAAGGGAGGTAGAAGAGAATGAAGGAAAGAAGGAAGGAAAGAAAGAAGGAAACAAGGGAAGGGAGGGAGGGAAGGAAAAAAGCATTGCGGAAATCAAGGAAGGAGAGAAGAGGAAGGAAGGGAAGGAGGAATCAAAGGTAATACGATAGAAGGAGAAGGGAAAGAAGGAGTAGGACAGGAAGGAGAGAGGAAGGAAGGGAAACTGAAAAAGGAGGGGAAAAGGAGGGAAAAAAGACGGAAAGAAAGAAAGAGGGATGTGCCACATTCCCAGGCCCTACTTTGAGGCTGAGCCTAGTGCAGTGGTTCTCAACCTTTCTAATGCCGTGACCCCTAAATACAGTTCCTCATGTGGTGGTGACCCCCAACCATATTTTTGTTGCTACTTCATAACTGTACTGTTATGAATTGTAATGTAAATATCTGAGATGCAGGATGTATTTCCATTCTTACAAATAGAACATAATTATTTATTTATTTATTATTTACCTTACTTATATACCGCTGTTCTCAGCCCGAAGGCGACTCATAGCGGTTCACAACAAATACGAACAGCAAAAATTCAGTGCTACAGTATAGAAACAGTTAACAACCTAACACATCACACAATTAATAAACAGTTACTACAATACCCATTCACTGTCGTCTCGTCATCAAAAACATGTTCCAGATTCGTCATCCATTGTTCCATTCCAGTGTTCATTAACCAATCATTGCACTAATTATTCGAACGCCTGCTCAAACAGCCAGGTCTTCACTTTTTTGCGGAATACCATTAGAGATGGTGCTAGTCTAATGTCTATAGGAAGGGCTTTCCACAGCCGAGGAGCCACCACCGAGAAGGCCCTATCTCTCGTCCCGAGAAGCAGGTGGGATCGAGAGCAGGGTCTCCCTGGAAGATCTCAAAGTCCTGGTGGGTTCATAGGCAGAGATGTGGTCGGATAGGTAACTTGGGCCGGTTTGGGGGAGTATGGACAATGGATGAAGGGATCTGAAGTACCTTCACCCGATTCAGCTCTGACTTCCACAGCCCAATGAGACCCCCCACAAATTACAGCCAGGCTCTTTCTCTCCTCTCTTTCCTTTCCTTCCCTGTCTCTCTCTCTTACACTCACACTTCCAGTCTCCCTACTCTCTTTCCTAGCCTTCCTCTCTCTCTAGGACTGTGTGATGTATTGGTGAATGATGCGTGCAGATCCCAGTAGCTTCTGCGAAGGCCTCGGTATCTGTTTGGCGCGCTGTTGAGGGTGCATGGGATCGCAGGAGAAGGATGGCCTTACAAGACATGCTGCGACCCCTCCAGAATTGCCAAGTGACCCCTCTGGGGGTCGCGACCCCCAGGTTGAGAACTGCTGGCCTAGTGTTTGGCTTATGGGACCCTCCCTTACTATACACCCATTGATGCAGGCAGCATCCCTGATGCACCCACTTAGCTCAGAGATGGGCAAAGGCCCCCTTTCTCTTTGGCTCCCCCTGCAGTTTCCAATGGTATTGCACCCAAAGGGAAGGGGAATTAGCATGGCCACCCTCCCCCTGCTGGAGGGCCTTGGTCCTGCACCCGTGCCCTTTGCCCTTTCTCCTGGCCTTACCAGGCTGATGAGCTGCGAGAGGGACATCCCAATCCGGACGGGGACCCGGTCGGCCGGGCTGCGCAGGGGGATGACAGAGGCCGAGTAGTTCCTAAACAGCATGGCCAGCAGCTGGCCCTCGGCCTCGGAGGCATCGGCAGCTGGAAGAAGGGCCCGGGGTCAACATGGGTCAACATGCAATGCCTCTCTGGGGTTCATGTCCCCCTTCCATCCCTGCCTTA